AGTCAGGCTTTTCAACTCTGTTGCAAATTAAAACAAAGCAACGTAGTAGATTAGAGGCAGAAAATGACCTGCGTTGTGCCCTTTCAAGCACTCCTCCGCGTATCCCAGAATTGGCGAAGAAAAAACAATCACAGGTTTCTCATTGACTGTAATCTTCATCTGAATAAAATTAATTACAAATTTACAATATCCTGGTATTCTATTGAACTTTTTGTTTATTGCATTATGCTTCAGTTTGGTCTGTTAAGTAATTCATTATATAAAAAAAACAAAACTATTTTACTTTTATTCAAGTTTTATAAATCCATCAACATTTTCAAGTGGCATTTAATTTGTAAAACTCCACTATAAAAATAATCCATATAAAATTTTAAATGTATATGTACTAATATGGAAAAAATAAAGGATTTTCAGTATTATATGCATATTATTTGGAATGCACTTTTTGAGGCAGACAATCTTGGAAAGGAGGGGGGAATGACATTCTGACATATGGTGAAAGGTGTGCATGGGGCAAACAAGGCTGAGAACCACTGGGCTAGCCAATACACGGTTTAATCTGGACAATATTCAATTAAATCTGGAAAACATGAAGCTGAGGTCTGAACAATAATACATTAAGTCCTTAACAAGACAGTTTTCTTATACCCAGACAATATACAGTTATCCCCAGGGAATATGCACTTTCATTTTTACTTTTATCCTCTTCGCCAGTTAGGCTCGTTTGCCGCTTGGGCGATCGGTCATGTCTGGCACTATTGCCAAGTACTCAAAGACTAGTCTTTGCCAAGTACTGGGCATGCACTGGCTCCTGAACAAGGAAGGTAGACTGAACCTACTCCAGTGCTGGTCAAGTCTGGTCTGGAAACAGCTCACACTTGTTACCGTTACAACACTCTCTGGCAGGTTGTTCCATGAGTTCACAACTCTCACCCCGAAAAAGTTTGCCCTCACAATTTTCTTGACTTGCGGATTCTTCAACCTTGAGCTGTGACCCCTTGTGGGTCGGGCGCCCGCCAGCACCAGGTAAGAACACTCGAGTGATCAGTGCCCTTTCAGATGTTTATACACCTCAATTAGGTCTCCCTTGCCCATCTAAAGTATAAGCTAGGCAATTGCAGGCGCTTTAATCTCTCTGGGTAGCTGAGGTGCCGAACTGCTTGCACCAGTCTGGTGGCCCTCCTTTGGACATTTTCAATGAACTGACAGTTCTCCCCCCTAGAAATATATTATGCCCAGACAGTACACTGTTATGTTAAATATATGTTAAATTATTCTATTCTCAATTTTTCGTTTTATTTGTCGTTTCACCACACCTCCAAACTGAACCAATTCTACAACTAATTTTCATATACTGTAATAGAAAATGTATATACTGAAACAGAGATTTAACCGACCTCCCGCACTAGTCAAACTCCAAACACTAGTACCCTGTAGTCGGTTATTCAGTATCTATAGTAATCTCCGAACTGGTATGTATTAATAGAAGTATTGTTTAAGTTTCGGTCATCCGAGGAATCTTGGGAATTTAACTATTGGAATCAGTAGAAGTTGGGGGGAGGGGGTGCGATGTTAACCCCAAACCCCCGGTTCGGTTAGAGACAGTTCCTGGGTTATGTTGCTAGGTTAGGACGTTAGGTTAGGCTAGGTTAGATTATAGGGATGACTGAAACTAAAATTTTACCAGATTATTATTTGGTTTAGCACATCTTAAAATTGCATAGAAGCACTTATTTTTAGAAAATTTCTACCTCATACATGCTTTCCTCAACCCTTAAAGCCTCTTGGAAATGTGTTTCTTTCACAAAAATCGTACACGTGAGGAACGCTTAAGAAATTAGATCAATAAACCTTGTTCCACCACAAACTATCTGGAGCCGTGATGCGTGTCACACTGTCTGCCTCCTCTCCCTTCCCGGTGGGGTTAAGGGCTTAAGGCCCCCCGCAGGGGTTAGGTTAAGTTAAGGTAGGTTAATTTATTGAAAGTAAGGGATCTAGATGTTTGGTTTCTGATGTATTTTTTGTTCAGAACTCACCTTGGTTTTTGATGGAAAATAGCTGTTTTTGATCAAGTATGTCTTTCATCCTTTTTTCCGTCTTTTTTTTTCAGAAACGACGCATTTCCCATGGAAACGAAGGTCAGATTTGAACACAACATATCAAAATACATCAGAAATCAAACATCTTGTGAAAAAATTCGAGGGTGTGCTAAAACGAATTATGCCATAATAGACACCTGCAGACTTTTGCTGCAATTGGAGGAAACTTTATAAGGATTCGTTTTAATATCCCCTTCGTTTTTTTATGGGAAATTATTGTTAAGGTGTATTTTGGTGTGCTTTGTTTTGATCTGACTCCCTTTTTTGTGTAAAATCCTCATTTATGACAAAATGTCATGACAGAACGAAACAACCAAAGAAACCTACCTAACCTTACCTAACTTTTAGCCTGGGAGCTCTGCTCCCTGCCCCCCACCCCCACCATATTAAACAGAAAGTACCTATTTTGATATTTGGTACCGATGAAAGCAACTTTGTTGAAGCGTCATGGTGTAATTGACTAATTTTACGTTTTTAGCAGATGTGAGAGTACACTTGGACTAAGCGGGTCAGTTGTAAACTAACAGTTGACATGGAGCGACTTAGCAGATTGTTTTGGAGTAGTATTTACGGTAAATAATTCTACTTTAGACATTACAGTACCTCCAAAATAATAACTATCCAAAAGCATTGAAAGGAACATAACAGATATCTAAAGCCCAAATGGCAAAATATTAACTCTTTCTCTAGAAACTAGCGGGGACGCTAAATTGAATCATAATCGAAACCTTTAAACAAATCAGGGTAAATTTTTTATTTTGGACAACATGGGAATTTTATCTTTGCAATAGTTTAGATATGGGCACCATGATGACTGGGGACGTAGGGGACTGCATGCATGCTGATTACATTGATTGTTTTATGCGATTTTTACCATCTTAGTTAAATGACCAGGTTAGGTTAGTATATGTTACGTTACATTAAGTAGAGTAAAACAACTGATTGTCAAAGTGGGAAGCATTCTAGTGGGATGACACAGTGCACACCAGCCACAATAGTATGCTTGGAGTGATTGCACTAATTTTATGCCTGAAATACCAGTTTTCGAGTGTGAATTAAAAAAATTGGGTAATTATTTGGATCTTGACTTGCTAGTTTAGTGGACAATTTTGCTCTCATTTTGCTCAATATTTGATGGTAAATGCATTGGAGACAGTCTTTTTTAAGGCCCACAGTTCAGACTGTCGGTACCGACAAAATAAGAATGTTTGGCATTGTGCGAAAAGACGAAAGGCCGATCTTCCAACATGTGTTAATTAAGGTAATTTTTTTTACACACCAGGTGGTATCCACCCCCTTGGCTAGCTAGATAGGTCAGGTCCTGGTTTCTCTGGTTAGGAGGTTTGGTTAGGTTTCATTTTGACAGTATTTTGCATGTTTTTACTCCACAATTTCCCTGTACATCAAAGCCCTGCCCACTTTGAACAATCAATAGGCATTAAAATGTCAGGTACTTCTAAGAAGAGGAATTTGAATGAATCCAATTGCATAATTATGTTCACACTGTATAATACAGTACTGTACCTTAATTTTGTGAGACTCAAACATAATGGTTGTCCCTTCAGTATTTGGCAATGTTTTGAAATGATTGTGGTGAATTTCCAGTTAAGGGTATGGATGAAATACTGTATTGTAATGTATATTATTCAAGTCAATGTCTTGTGAAATATAATGTACAGTACTTATTGTACTTACAGTTTTTTAACAAAGGGCTACCGGTAACTGATGTATTTTTTTCATCAGTAATAATGTATGCATTTATTTCTTTCGGTTCTTATTGTTGGAAATCTTTTGAATTTAAATCTAAGGTTTGATGTGAGTACCATCAATGTCTTTTCAGAACACATTCTGAATCATCTCCGGAGTTGTTTTAGTAACTGACATTACAATACAGTTTGCTGTTTTGTAAACTTCAGACTTTGATAAAGTCCCACTCAAAGAAGTCTAATGGTATTAAGTCCAGAGATCAGGCTGCCCAGAGTCTGTTTCCACCATATCCAAGTCAACAATTTGGTAAGAGTTGTCACGGTACTGCACTGTATGCCTGAATAATATTTCTTAGTAAAATGGATCTCTAACATGTTGAAAGACAACCTTGTTGAGAATGCCATCGGAACATCATTTGGGCACATCTTGGTGATGGACCAGTCACAGAAGAAATTTGTTAACTGGGTTCTCATCTCTCAATGTTACTTTTGTCTGAGGAACTCTGCTGGCTTTTGAAGCCTTATCTGTTCATAAATGGTGTTTGGGCTTGTATTGAAGAGGAGGTAGAGCAGTGGCTCTTAACCTTTTTAGAGCTGCACCTCCCCTATGATCAACCTTGAATCCACGACACCCTTGATCCTCGAGGGGTCACAGGGCTGGATCCAGGCTGATGCAACCGATGCACGTACATCGCTCAAAAATTCTGACTGATGCAAAAGTATCATATGCAATGCTCAAATAATTGACCTGTTGGTAACGCAATCTTATTGTCAGTGTTGACCTGCATGGCCCACCAGTTTCTGACTGTAGCCGTCTCATTCCGTACTTAAGTGGCAGGTTGACAAACTGTCCTCAGGGATGGAATACAGTAAAACCACCATAATTTGTAATCCCCTAATTCGAAATCACTCGTAATTGTAATGTTTTGCTGTTACAAAATATATGTTAGAAATTTTGTAATATTTGGTTGAAATTTTGAAATATGAGAGATCCTTGAAAATACTGCATTATGATTGTATATTACATCTTTCGTAATACCATACATGTATTTGGTAAAATTTTGAATTATGGAGATGTTTACGAATATGTATAATGCACATGTCGCCATGGGATGTGACCACTTGCCTCACTGTAAACAAGTACGTGTTTACTTTGGTATATATTTTAACATAAGTAATGCAATGTTTATTTTGTCGGTGTAATTAACCCTTAAGCCCTGGGTGACGTTCCAGAACGTTCGCCTATTCCCGCCACTGTTTAAATATCCAGCACGGTTTATCAGGTTCCAGTGTGACTATTTGCCTGCCATGCCACACGCTCGGCCACAAGGAAGTTTCCTGAACATAATTACCTACTTTTGTTTGTTTCATTTCCATTGTTTGTCCATTTTCTCATGTTGTATTGAAGTAATATTGCTAAAAGTAGTGTACTAGTTGTATTATAGTGTAGTATTACTGTAAAATTATGCCATGATTATGTTATAAATGTATTATTTTATGCATTACTTGCTCTACCAAACACAAAGACAGCCAGGCAGACTGGCGCCTGACTGCGTGAGTGTTGCCAAGCACTTTTTATAAAAAAATAATACAAATAAAATAATCTAAATGAATTATTTATAGGAAATAAGTATTATTATCAGTAAATATATGCATAATTGGCCATCTCGGACACAAAGGCAAGCTAAAAATAGCTGGTAAGTGCATAGGTGACCACTAGCTCAGCTGTCAGAACAACACTGTCCCTTTAACTCCCTCTGCATTGCCAGGGAAGTTTCTAGAGGGTCAATATATAGTTTTTCTTACTTATTTTTTATTGTTTTATCTTTTAAAAAGGTTAAAAATGGTATGGGGTACTGCCAGTGGCACCCTAACCCGGGGCTTAAGGGTTAATATAATGTTCGGTTACCATCTGTAGTAGGATCAGTATACTACATCACAAGTTGCATGTAGCATTTTGAAAGTCATCGGACCCATCCTGGCAGATACTTTTTTGAGATGTTGTACATTTAATGCTTATTGATATGTGTTTGTATGTGTAAGTGTCTGTTTGTATATACCTGTATAACTGTACAGAGTTATTGTATTGTGTAAACAATATTGTTTAAAGTAATAAAACTATAGGTACAGGTATATACAGTCTTATTTAATTTTGTTTTATGACAATATATAGGCTGAAATATCTGGCTAAACATATATTTCTCGAAGAAAATATTACCCTGAACTTAATTATTGATTTAAAATATGGCATCGCGGAATGAGGTGTAAAAATTCCATATTTATAAATTTTTTAAATCTGATCTAGCTGCAACTACAAAAAATTAAAGATTGTTCAGTCAAATTTGAGGTCTGGATCTAGCCCTGGATCAAAGAACACTTTTTTTAAGTTCCAATTTCAATGAACTTTATTGTCTTTATAGATCTAACCTAAAAAAGGCCTGGACTTCTTGAAGATAAAATTTCAAAGTCATGCCTGATTTTCTGTTTGAATATTTTCATTTTATAAAGAAAATTATTAGTCAACATCAGTGTTTTAAAGCCATTTTCCATGCCTAGGTTCTTTTCACATTCTGTTTCTGTTGTTGCTGTTTCTTCATCCCGTTGGGACATGTGATATGTCTCCTGACTGTTGGTATGACTTAGGTGCATCCTCTTACAGTTCGTGACATTGAATCATAACAGCCATTTCTTCGACCACTCCTGAAGCTGCCAGAGGTTTTTCTGTAGCTCTTCCATTTGGTTCTTAGTTTTCCTGAATAATTTGGCAATGTCTGCAAACATTTGTATGGAGGAGTGTATTGCTTCTTTCATGTCATTTGTGAAACAAATAAACAACAATGGGCCCAGTACACTACCCTGTTGTGCTCCACTTGTCACAGGTACACATGACGGTTTTATGTCATTAAGCACCACACACTGCTTGCGGTCATGAAGAAAGCCTCCGATCCATGCTAGGACACTTTCCGAATCCTGTGCCTTTCTAGTTTGATTCTCAGCTTTTCATAGGGTATGCTGTTGAAAGCCTTCTCATAGTTTTGCACGAAAAAGGCTTCAAAATGGATAGTTAAAGGAAAAGAGCTTGAAAGACAAAGAAGATGCAGGCAGAAAAAAAGGACAGCCAACTCAAAATGGTACAACACAAGCTGATAACACTTACTGTACTTTTAGTGTGGAATATTTTGTGACTTGGCTCATTTCCTTGTTTAGAATTTGTTCTACTTTTAAAACAATATGAAAGGCGTTTGTGCCACTTGAATAAATATAAATTGAATACACATTTATAGGACTTCCCAATTTAGCCAAATTTTACCTTTTTCTTTAGCAATGAATAGGCATTAAACGGAAATCTTTATTGTTTTATATTTTATTCCTTGGTGCTAAACGTACAATACCTTCACAGCACCAATGGCAATTGAATTTCTTATAAATATAGTATAAGGGGAAACACAGTATAATGAATGTTTGATTAATCATATAGTCTAAGTAAAACTGAAAGTTTTGTTTTATGAATGTTTTTCCACCTTATGTCATCATCCATTGCTGAGGTGAATATGGAAATTATTTGTTTACATATTTAGTAAAGAAATAACATAAATGCAATGGGTATAAATATTATTTCAGGTCATATTTTGTATTTAATAACATACTGTACTCATTTCAGCTTAACACAATTAATGTACTGTACTGTATGCCTTTTCATTTTTTTTAAATACGTAAATTATTCCTGAATGTCCTTGAGTGACAATTTGGTACAGTACGATGTATATCATATTACAAGTATATTGTTTCAAAATATATATTAAAATATTAACTTCCTGTGCATGAATTGTTCTTATGAAAACTTGTTTTAGCATATACCGTAGTAATTAATTTCTGTTACTACGGGATTTCACAAAACTGCATTCCCCCCTCTAAAATATAATGCATCTGGCATTTGCCAGACTTGCTTAATAAAGTTTCTGGAAAAAGTGACATCATTTATTTGGGTGATTGTACAGCTACAGAAATGAGTTCTACACCCCCTGTGGTAACCCGTGTCTCCAAAAAGCTACTTACATGACTTCTAGCAAACCTATCCACCAATCATGTCTGTCGTTACACGACCAGTACCCATTCATTCATAAATAGTATACTACTACTGCAGCGGTGCCGTTTGGAAACACGGGCTATCACAGTTAGTTTAGGAACACATTTCCAGATCTGTACGTTTACTGTATTGAAATACATATTCTAACATTGCCTGTTTAATTTCAGGCAACAACGACTTGGTGCAGTCTTGCCACAGCTTCACCACCTTACAGTAGTTCCCTTTGTCCATTGTGTAAGGCCAAGTCATAGTCATTATAATGTAAAGAAACCTGAGAAGAAAAACTGGTTAAACTGTACTTATGGGGCGTATGTTTATTAATTAACTAAGGACAACAAAATATGCTCAGTAACTACTAGATTACTGTACAGTATTCCTCTTTCTTTGTTGGATCCATGTCAAGAAGGACCTTTTATGACCATTACTGTATATGTACATTAAATTTTCTTATGAAACAGCAAGTAGGCCATTGCCTCTACATACCATCATTAAATTATATCCAGTTTCAACAAGAACAGAACCACTGGGTTTTGCCATTTTTTGTTTGTACTGTACAGTATCTGCTAAAATGAGGAATAGTTCAGTGATGGTTTGTTTTCAGTCACTGGAGTGTGCAGATCACATTACATGTGTAAGGAGTTTCCATTCACTGATTCATAAGTAAATTCAAATTTAGGTAATGGGAATAACATACACAGTAGTATCTAGAGCTGGATTTTGTTAAGTAAAAGGAGTACATTGCAGGTGCTGTACTTTGATAACACTTCTTTGTCATGTACAGTACTGTATTGATTAATAAGTGCATGCCCCAAAACTACAGTGAAGGTTATACAGTATTCTCAGATTTTTTCAATTACAGTATAATGCCAGTCACTATAGGCAAGTACTGTACTGTACAGTACAGCGTGGTTATACCAGTTGTGACAAAAGTCTCTCCCAGTTGATACCCAAATAAGAGGGAACCGCAGTCTGTCCAGGCAGAGGTTGAGTTGGCGGCAGAAGAGGCAAGGCGTGTGGCAGGACGAGGGTTCGACGAGATGACAGAGGAAGACATACGGGCTATGTTGGAACCTGTTATGCCTACAGCTGAGGATATTATGGAGGAAGACAGACGGAACATAGAAGACAGCCCAGAAGAACAACCCGCCGCACAACCCATGTCAAAAGTCAGGGAAATTATTGAGTTGAGTGAACGGTTGAAACACCTCATCGAACAGCACCCTCCCCCGACTGGCGACAGTGAAAGTGTGTCTGGTATCATAGGCAGAGCACTCCAGCCTTATGTTGACCAGCTAAACCATCACCACAACGCATTGCGGCAGAGACAATTTAGGGACTTCTTTCGTCAACAACAACAACCACCTCAGCCACCTGTACTACCTCAAGCTGACTTTGAGGGTTTTCAAGAGGATGAGGAGTTACTCGAAGAATTAGTGCCGGGTGGGGACCACTAACTCTCTACCCTCTAGCCTCGGAATCCCTTCCCTCAAGACCAGCTCAAGTCTGTAAGTACAGTAACATACACAGTAACAAATGTATTCTTCTTTATTGTTCCCTTTTCATCACTTTGTAATAAACCTAGCCATGCCTGTGTGTGTTTTTGATACTTACCATAACATTATCTATGTCTTTAGTGGGTCTAAATGGTCGTAAAATGGGAAAATTGGGGTTGGGTCTTGGGTGCCTGGAACCAATTAGAATAGATCCCATAGTTTCTGTACTTTCGTTATCGCATTTTTTCGTTATCACGCACTCGGTTTGACCCCAATTAGGCGTGATAACCAAGGGATGACTGTACTATAATTTTCAAGTACCCCTAAGTTGTGTGTTTTGTAGGTGATGTTCACATAGCTTTGATAACCTTTACTGGACTAACATAATATAATATGGCCAGTTAATCGATGCTGCAGATACATCCTAACATAATAGTTTTGCTGATGAAATATATTATCTGTCATACTGTATGGTTGAGATCATGTTATGTGCTGATTTACCAGGAGTAAATAAAATGAAAGATAAAACAATTTTATATCACATTTCATAGATACAATATATGTACTGCATACAGCAGGGGTGGCGAACCTATGGCACGCGTGCCCAAGGTGGCATGCAAAAAAATTTTGTTGGCACGCGGCATGCACTGCCGCCCCAAGATTTTTTAAACCCTACCCATTATATATATATATATATATATATATATATATATATATATATATATATATATATATATATATATATATATATATATATATATATATATATATATATATATATATATATATATATATATATATATATATATATATATATATATATATATATATATATATATATACTGTATATATATACAGTGACCCCTCGGTTAACGAACTCAATCCGTTCCAGAAGGTCGTTTGTTAACCGAAAAGTTCGTTAACCGAAACCATTGTTTCAATCGGTTTTTGGGTAATTGGTTCCAGCTCACCGAAAATTTCCTAAATTCAACAAAAATGGTAGAAAAGTTCACTTAATATGAGGTGTGTATGTAGAAGGCTCCTGGATGATGATGATGATGGGAATTAGAATGGGGGCGGAGGAGAAGGAAGAAGAAAAGGCATTGGGGTGGAAGAGAAGTCACCCCATGGCACCATTTCATCCATAAAATTTTAGTTCTCTTGGTGTATTTCAAGATTATTTTCTTTAAATCAACACTGCACTGCATTATATATTGTCAATATGTAAAATATATTTCAAAATGACCAATAATTTGCTTGGAAACACAGAAAAAAAGCATTTAGTTGAAGGGAGTCTCAAGCAGGATGTTACCTCCACTGAAAACAGAGAGAGACTAACGCCTGTCTGGTGTGTTAACAGGCTGGATGGCATGCCAGGAACTAGTTTCTTTACCTTCAATTATGTTCAATAGTTGTTAAAATGACTAAAAAGTTAATATTAAACTTTTAAAATTATTGAATAGTATAAACTTCTTGATATTTACTAAAATAGTAAGGAATTTAAGCCCTAGAACCGATTAATGTATTGGCGGACTGATACTAAAGCTGGTTGCCCGGTCAGTGCAAGCGAAAACATGTTGAGGCCGGTTTGTAAGAAATTCGTTAACCGAATTTTTGTTCGTTAACTGAATTGAAGATCCTTATGGAAGGCAGTTCGTTAACCGAAATTTCGTTAACGAGGCGTTCGTTAAACGAGGGGTCACTGTATATATATATATATATATATATATATATATATATATATATATATATATATATATATATATATATATATATATATATATATATATATATATATATATATATATATATATATATATATATATATATATATATATATATATATATATATATATATATATATATATATATATATATATATATATATATATATATATATATATATATATATATATATATATATATATACAATGTGTGCAGGTTACAGGGTCAATTGAACCCACAGGGTACCGCGGAAAGTGAAACCATAAAGTGAACAACAGAACATATGGGATTAATTCCAATAGCGACTGGCCCGACCACCAAACTCCACTTTTTCCGACGCGATACCTATTTTGTAGTAAAAATAACATCTTAATTTTATGATGGTATGCACACACAATTAATATTTAAGAGAAATACAGTCGCCAGGTTAATCTCCATTCAAATAATGGACTCAAATCCCTCCCCCCTCTTCCCAGCTCACTGGCCCCTACCTCTCTGAGAAATGTTTGGGTGAAAACACTAGATTTTAACGTTTAGTAATAAATAATACCTCAGACTAAAGTTAGGATAATATAATTGACATTTCTGGATTCCTTGCAGGTCAGGGTATATTTTGAATGTAAACTTCATATATTTTGCACAAAAGATAAAATATTTGCTTTGTGTAAACCAAATTATTACATTAGATCTAAAATTTGTATGTCTAATGCAAAATCCATGATGTTTATATTCAAAATGATCATCATATTGTAAGAATTCCAGCAATGTAAATTATATTCTGGCCGGGTAATTTGTATGAATTTTATGAGCTAAATAAAAAATTATACTTTGCCCGCGTATATGAGTAGATGCACCGCGGTAAGTGAAAGTCCGGTTCTGGCGAGGTACCTCGTAAATGAGAAATCGCGGAAAGTGAAACAGCGTAAAGCGGGGTAATAATGTGTGTGTGTGTGTGTGTGTATATATATATATATATATATATATATATATATATATATATATATATATATATATATATATATATATATATATATATATATATATATATATATATATATATATATATATATATATACACACACACACACACACACACACACGCCAATAACGTTTAATAGGTGCCTGAAAAATGCCGTTATTTGTGTGACATTAAAATACATGTAAAAAGGGTTTATTGGTGCTGCCGCCCCAAGAATTTCACCCAATTTTTCCTCTTAGAAGACCTCCTAACACTTTTTGTTCGCTGAAATGAAAAGAATTGGTATTCAATCATCAAAATAAAGAGTTTGAGTAATATAACACTTAGCTTGAGGGAGTTTTTGAGGTGCTTGGTGCGATGCTTGTTCCGTATCTGAGGGACGCTAACACTTGCACTGTCTTTCATTCTACAAGCTAACCATTTCACAAGAAAATGCTCTGTTATCACTAACAACCTGTTTCTATGACTTTTATCATTCATAGCTCGCCTCGCATTTCCATCACTACCGAAATATTTCTTAGCCAGCGCAATACAGTCGACCCTCGTTAATTTGGACCCCTTTAATCCGGATTTCGGATAATTCGGACAAAATCTGAACGAACTTTTTTTTTTTTTTTTAAGGAATATTACCTACGCGGACCTCAAGCTAAAATGGTGGTCCACCCACTGCTGGGATAAAACATCAGCGTCTTTTTGGTTAAATGTAACATTTCCACCACTAGTGTGGGGGGGTGGGGGGGGATGCAACTTTTAGCTTCAGACATGAAAAATATTTACCATTTACTGCCAGTAAACAAAGGAAACGTAAAATATGTACCAATTAGTAATGAAAAGTTGTGCAGTTCCTTCAGCAAATGAAGCTCACCAACTTACAATAGGCTAAATTACCTTACAACGTGTTTTAAGTAGTCTATGTTGAAGTTCTTAGCACAGGCTAACTTATCATATCATATACGGTATCACAGTTCTCATTGATCTACAAAAAATACCGGTAATAAAAACCTTTTCGATATTTCACACTTAATATAATACCCCGTAATCTACTTCAACCTCCTATTGTTTACAACGACGCATGACGCACCACCAGCTGTTGAGTATCAGCTAGACGGTACACGTGTTTTTTTAATCGTTTTCAGTTAAAAAACTGTTACATCACATGTATATTTTACCTTAACTGTGCCTGAATGAATATATTTTCGGAAATAAATAGTAGTTTTGCTGAAACGTGATGTATTTTAATGTAAAATAGGATAAAATACATGACGAAAACAAGACTTACTAACGATGTTCAGAGGATTACTGGATTTTCTGCTTTTGGTTAAATACTGTTATATTATTCTATTCATATTGTGTGCTTGATATAATACATTCGCGATGTAATATTTTTGCTGAAATAACGTCATGATAATTAAGGAAAGATGGGATAAAATAAATTGTGGTAACAATGAACGCGCTACGCTTTTTCTTTAAGTTCCAAGGCTCATTGCATGTCGCTTCGATGGTTTTCGGATTAAATTGTGGCCTATGTATTCTATCCTTATTGACTTGAATAAATACTACGATACCATATTTCTGAATATTTTCATTAAAATCCATCCAAATCATTTTCCTTGTCATCGTCTGCAGCACCAAACAGCTTCTCCCAGTCCTCTCCTTGAACAGGGCTAGAGGATACGTGTTCTTCAAATCGTTTTCAGTTAAAAAACTGTTACATCACACGTATATTTTACCTAAACTGCGCCTGAATGAATACATTCTCGGAAATAAATAGTAGTTTTGCTGAAACGTGATGTATTTCAATGTAAAATAGGATAAAATACATGGTTCTGGGATTGTCCAATAGATGGGTCACGCCGCGGCCGTCTTGTTCGCACGTGAGTCACGCCAGTCATTCTTGACCTAGCGCCCTATTCCAGTATCAGTGCTGTGATGCCCTGCAATTTTCATTGATATTTCAGTAATTAGGCATCTTTCCACCCCCCCACCAAAAAAAACAAAAAACAAAAACAAAAACATATTGTAATGTTTTATATAGCTAGTTATATGATGTTTACAGTACAGTATTTCCTGTATTTTTGTTACTGTGTATCATGTTCAGTGTACAGTGTATATACGGTACTATCTTTCCTATATACGGTACTATCTTTCCTAACCTAACCTAACCTAAATCGGTTAATTCGGACAATCAGCTAAAACGGACCCCCCCCCCCTATTAGTCCGAATTATTGAGGGTCGACTGTACTCTTCTTGGTCTCCTCTAAGTTCCTCTTAATATTTCTCACTGTAGACTCAGGACAGTTCAATTTCCTCACAATATCAATGTTCCGTGCACCACTTTC